CTCTCTCTCCCTCTCTCTCTCTCTCTTTCTCTCTCTCTCTGTTTAATTTTAAGGAATGTTGGACATCAAAGTAGAACCACGCATAACTCTCCCAATATCTGTCCTCCGTTATGGTCATTTTTTCAAATGATCACAAAAGTTACTGACTGAGCTGTGATAGCTTGCAGATTCCTCATGAGGTTGGGCTGTTTTACCTCATGTGGCAGGTGTCCGTGTTGATGATTCCCTATGTTTTCTACTGTCATGGCCTGATGAATGTCTGCATTGTTCCTCAGGTTGGACCAAGAAAGTAACTGTTCATGAAAAGGTTTCTGTGAAATGCTTATGATATCACTGGGTCTTGTATCTAATACTGGGGGAAAAATCACTTTTTCCAGTGATTGGACTATTGCCATTAAATACAACAAAATTCCATACAAGAATATCTCTGATTTTTAGAATGAACTGTAGAGACATTGGGGCTCACCCAGTACAAATTGAACCTGACTATCAGTTACAGATACTCAAAGGGAGGGGTATATTTACATTTTTATTGCAATGGGAAATATGATGAGAAATACCAACTTAGGAAGAGAAATATTTATTTCAAATTCTAGCTTTCACATTTTGTCCACCCCTGAATGAAATCAAGGCAGAAATTCAAGGTCAGAACTAAAGCAGAAGCAATACAGGAGTGTTGCCTATTGTCTTGTTTCCCAAGGCTTGTTCAGCCTGATTACTTAGAAACCCATGGACAATATATGGTAGGAAATTCTATGCACCATCGGATAGGTTTGGCAGCTCAATCATTAAGGAATAAGTTGAATCATAATCTTGCCTATAGTAAGATATTTACAGAAGTTTCTCAATTGAAATTATCACTCTCGATTGTGCTGTTAATTTATCAAAACCTTAGTCAGAAGATGAGACATTTTTCAGTGTCAGAATCATCTTTTTCTTTCCTACAGTCTACATAGAAAGCTTGTAGAAAACATTATTTAGAAAACATTATATTTGGTTATTTTCCAAGTTTGGGCCTTTTGTTGTGATAACCACCATAATCAAAGCAACTAAGAGAAGAAAAGGTCATCTTACAGATCATAGTCCAACATTGAACAAAACCAATACAAGATTATAAAGATGATGACTGAGGTGAAGACAAAAAGTGATACTGCTTATTTCCTTAATTAGACTGCTTTATTATATAGGCCCTTCCTAAATACCCAGGAATAGCATCTAGAATGATGGAATGGATCCATTTACATTAATCACCATTTAAGCAAATGCATACAAGAAAGGCTGTAGGCCAGTCAAATAGAAGGAATTCTTCAATGTAAATTATTTACATCTAGGTGTTTTGAATTGATGGCTAAGTCACCATCATTATAAATGTTAATTTAATTCAGTAGTCAATGAAGATCCAGGTTATAAAATATTCAGTGTATCTTGGTATCTTAGACATAAGAAGTGATAGAACAGGAATACACCCTTCCATTACATGGTGGTAGAGAACATGCTGGAAGAGACCATGTTCCTACATCTGAGATATTCAGCAATAAGATGAGAGTGAAGCACTGTGATGGCCACACAGAGATTTGGTGATGTAGAGATCTATGCATCAGCACAATAGGTAATGATGAGAAATGCTGACTTTTACTTTACTTGTAAGAAGTAAAAGTCTTGAGAAACAAATTCAAGAAAACAAATGTCTAATCAAGTCATTGGAAAACTATGCTTTTTTAAGACACTGTTGGTTCCTATTGTTTCTGGATAAGTAAATGAACATGAGGAACTTACCAGGTTATGTGGTTGATAACAAGTGTTCTTCTCCTCAATAGGCTCCAATTCACACCCTGAGAATCATATTGTAGAAGTGTCTGAGGAGTAATCAGCTCATATCACAGATGTCCCATTTTTTCTGTTGAACAGTGATCTGAGTTCAACCACGTTCTCCAATGTTTTCTACTGTTGCCTCATGGGGTCAGAGTGGGCTCAATAAACTTTCTCAAAACCACAGATGATTTTTACTTCACATAATATATGCAGAGGTAACAATCTGATCTCCAAAATATATAAAGAACTCAAGAAACTAGACGTTAAAATGCTAATTAACCCAATTAAAAAAATGGGGCACTGACCTGAACAGAGAATTCTCAACAGAAGAAATTCAAATGGCTAAAAGACACTTAAGGTTATGCTCAACCTCCTTAGCGATCAGGGAAATGCAAATCAAAATAACCTTGAGATATCATCTTACACCTGTCAGAATGGCTAAAATCAAAAACACCAATGATATCCTTTGCTGGAGAGGTTGTGGAGAAAGGGGTACCCTCATGCATTGCTGGTGGGAATGCAAACTTGTGCAACCACTTTGGAAAGCAGTGTGGCGGTTTCTCAGGAAATTCGGGATCAACCTACC